AGGACTGATCACAGCTAGCCACATTAAATATGTAATTTCAGAAATGTGATCAAACAGACTTGCTTCCTGAGTTATGAAGCAAATCCTACAGGGGACTAGAGAGCCTTTTTGTTTTCCATTTTTTATTTAGTGGTAGGTTGATTTTTTTTTGAGGGGGAAATATATTTAATTACGAAATCTTTTCAATAAAAAAATGATTAGTGGCAGCAGGGAAAGTAATTAAAATGTCTAATTTTTCTTTCTTTCCAAAGGCATCAGTCCCTAAATTGGATGGTCCCCTGGGCTTGGAAGCAGACAAAGTTTTAATAGAACTTTTATTTAAAGTCCAGCAATGGTTTTGTTATGCCCTGATGTTGGGGTGTTAAGAGGAATCTTTCTTTCCCAGGAGTTAATGTTCTGGATATTGAGGACTGGAAGAATGAAAAGTTGTATTAGTTTATTAGAGCTGTCATAACAAAGTACAGTGGGGCCTTGACTTACGAGTTTAATTCATTCTGTGATGGAGCTCGTAACTCAAATTACTCGTATGTCAAATCAATTTTCACCATTACAATGACACGTGATGCTGGGCTGATGTTGTGGTGTTCACTGTGATGTTCGCTGCGCCAACTAGCGGTGGGGCATCTGAAGCTGGCTCATAACCTGAATTTTAGCTCGCAACTCAAAGCAAAAAATCGGCTGAGAGATGGCTCGTATCTCGAAAAACTCGTTAGTCGGGACACTCGTAAGTCAAGGCCCCACTGTACTACAAACTGGGCGGCTTAAAACAACAGAAATTTATTCTCACAGTTCTGGGGGCCAGAAGTCCAAAATCAAGGCATTACTAGGGCCACGCTCCCTCTGACAGCTCTAGGGGAGAATTTGTGCCATGCCTTTCTCATAGCTCTTGGTGACTGCCAGCTCTCCTTGGCATTCCTTGGCTTGTAGATGCATCACTCTAATCTCCGCCTTCATCTTTACATGGTGTTTATCCTGTGTGTGTCTTTGTCTGTTTACTCTAATCCAGTATGATTAGACCCTGTTTCTAAATAAGATCACATTCACAGGTCCTAGGGGTTAGGAGCTCAATATATCTTTTGGAGGGACACAATTCAACTACTAACAGGGACTATAGTCTATGGTAAGGAAGACAAGAGAGACCATGGTGCTTGGGCAGAGGGGGGCTATACCCACATTTAGGAGGAGGTGAATTGCCTGGCATACCTGGGACAGTCTCAATTTAGGGACATCAAGTTTTGATCCTACAGCTGCCCCGATCTTGAATATCAGACTTGTCATTCAGTCCAAACACCGGGTTGGCTAGGAAATGAGGGCCCCCTCATAAGAGGAGACTTTATCTTTTAATTCACTTTGTGATGTGGTAGAAAGAGCACCCAACTTGGAGTCAGAAAATCTGGGTTCAGTCTTTTCTAACTGTCCACCTGCTCCATAACTTGGGAGCACATAAGTAAACTTCTTTGGTCCTCAATTTACATTTTTATAAAAACATTTTATAAAATAATATCTACCCACCACAATTTTATAATAAGCTTAAATGAGAAAAGGGCATATGAAAGAGTTTTATAAAGTATCAAATTTTTTTTTCCTATATGAAAATTATTTCTCTTCTTCACCTTTGGTTATTATGTTTTAAATGTTGATCAGATTCTTTCCACACCCAGAGTGGGCAAATATGAATTACAGCTGGGCAGAGTACCATCTGTTCTGTGGCTCCAGAGCTCAGTGGCCCCAGTGAGTCATCAAACCCCTTAGTGGCCTTAATCTCTTAGCACCTGGAGCTGCTGGCTGGAACAGATTTTCTTTTTAAATATATTTTTGTTGATTTCAGAGAGGAAGGGAGTGGGAGAGAGATATAGAAACATCAATGATGAGAGAGAATCATTGATTGTCTGCCTCCTGCACAACCCTACTGGGGATGGAGTTTTTTGAGATACCAGCTGTCTCTCGGCCGATTTTTTGCATTGAGTTGACAGAGTAATTTGAGTTAATGAGCTCCTTAACGAGCTCCTTAACGAGCTCGGTCTCAGAACGAATTAAACTCGTAAGTCAAGGCCCCACTGTATGACCTTCTGGTTCATAGGTCGATGCTCAACCACTGAGCAACCTCAGCAGGGCTGGAACAGATTTTATTTGGGTGGGTAGTTAGAGCCCAAGCCTTGTAGTCAAGCCTCTAAGTCAGTCTTGAGGCAGCAGAGCTGATGATAAAAGGATAAAAGTCTTTCTTTAGATGTCCTCCCTCCTCCAAAGCATAGAGATGAACGTGCAGCTCTCTGCTTGTCGGGGATGAAATTAGCAGGCTCCCATCGTTCAAGACAAGTGGCGAGGAAGAGCTGAAATCGGGTACCAAATGCCACTGAAGAGAATATATTTTATACAACATGAAAGGCCCCAATGCAAATTAGAAGAAATATAGGGAGACCTCCAAAAGATAGGTCAAATTTTTTCCTCAAGCAGATAATTATAGGCTGGGGGTGAATAAATCTTATTAGCCTCTCTCTACTTCGTCTCTTCTCATAAAACACTAATGAAGAGAAAGCCATACTCCATTCAGGTCTGGACAGCTGGCCTGAGACAGCTGTCTAGTCGGGATGCCTGTGGTCAGGCTGTGGATGCCCACTCTCGTCACTGCCCGCAACTCCTCCCCAGAATGCAGGTGGAAACAGCCAGCCAGGCACAAAACTCCACCACTCAAGTGCCCACATCGACTTACTGAGACTTGGTTACTTCTCACTGTCTGAAGAATGACCCCTTTAGGCAGCAATTCTCCAGTCAAATTTCTCCGCCCAAGTTTGCGGCCGTAAAATTAATGAAGTTGTTAATATTTCTTAAAATGTCTTTCATGGCAGGCAGCTAGAAGGTGCGGATTTATCACCACTGATCTTGGTGGCCTCTTCAGTTCATACAGAGATATGGGCTGAGCCCCCACAAACATCCTTAAGGAGACAGGAGTCTTGGCCTTAACCCTGGCTTTAGTTTGCTCTGCAGTAGGTCTCAGGGTGAGTACTCAACCTCTGTGCTCTGGGGGGAGCCCCAAAGGCACTCTTTGTGGCAATGAGTCTAGCTGCCTACTGAATTATGTCTCTGTTTTCTGAGCTCTGGAAGACCAGCAACAGGTCTTACTCACAGTTATATTTGTATCAACTCCAGCATCTGGCACTAGACCAGGCACACAGAGATAGTGGTGGGGGCAGGTAGGTCTTTAATTCAGTCTAAGCTGAATTAAATATGGTAAGAAGGTGGAGAGGCTCTGGAATTACCGCTGCACTCAGTCAAGGAACAAGCAGTCAAGAATCAGCTCTTCACACCCTGTGAGTCAAAAGCAATAATGGTGCTGACTTTGGCCTTCCCGTTAAGCATCAGGCAATGTCTGGCCAATGGTTTGGGTCCTCTCCTCTCTCAAGAAGGGAAATCATGAGGATTCTAGATGACAAGGTTACGGCCACAGAGAATGAATGCAATCATCTCTGAGTCATGCAGGAGGCAAACCTGCCCTTTTTGGACATTCTGTATTTTATAAAAGTTGAATGACTTTGAAAACAAATTCAAAATTTTATCCAGACTGGTTTTCATCACAAATCTGGTTAAAAGGCAATAACAATACAAAGGACCAGATTGCAATTATTTATAGACACTTGCCCTTATTATAAGATGACATTCAATGTCTGACTGAAATAAAATCAACAAGTAATTCTTATCTGGACTCTCCTGACAACTACTGATCTTCCTCTCCCACTGGGGAGGCTTAGGACTAGCAGGAAACCTCCCAGCAGAGTATAACCCTAACCTGCCCTAGGGTTTTTGATGCATTTATTTTTTTTAAGTTTGAAATGAAAGGTACAGCTACTATTAGCCAAGACTAACTGCATTATAGATGAGAGACAGCAGTGGGTGGAAGATCTCTGTTAGGTGCATTTGAAATAGCTCGGGCCCAAGGGCAGAGACTGAGCATCAGGAATAGGTAAACATGCCCAGAAGGGATCCAGAACTCAGTGCTGTTCTGGGTTCATAAACGCTTCATCGAATCAGGCCTGATGCGTGAGTTCCCTCCCTGGAAGCCTTCTGCATTCATTTGTCATGCACAACTTTTATGAGTGTCTTCTATGTGATGGGACATAGTGAGGAGCAAACACAACTTAGTGCCTGCCCTTAAAGGGGTCCACTCTAGAAGAGTTCAAAAGAAGAAAAAATATCCACCTGGAAATACATTAGCTCTCCTCCAAAGCTGCTCTTTCCTCTGCAGAGGTCCAGCTCCCATGAGCTGTTAGGATGAGCACACAAAGAATAAGGAATCCTACATCAGGTAAATATGGCCTCCTGAGGGCTCCTAGAACAGGACCTAGCAGGCTGAGTAGGCAGATCCCCGGAAGACAAAGTGACTATAAGGAAAGAATTCTGGTTTTGTAGTTAGAGAATCTACTCTGTGTGATCTTATTAAGTCCAGTTTCTACAAGTGTTAAAATGGAACGGGATGTGGCCTCTATCTCTGAGGTGGTTGCAGAATCAAATGAACTGAAATCACATCTAGAAATGTGTTTAGGCACCTTCAAGGAGACACTCAAATGTAAGGGAGTCACTTGAGGACCCTAGAGGACCTGCAACCCTCATAATAACAATCTTTTCTCAAGAGATCTCTATTATTAAAAACAGTCCTGGGTTAGAATCCTATATCTGAAAAATCATAGTCAAAATGCAAATAAGCATTACATCTAATGACTGGTAAGGGAATGTTGTGAATACCATAAAGGCTTGGGGCGGGGGTGCAATAAGATACGACAGCTACAAAGCCTTTAGTTTCTTTCAGGATACAAAATGCATCCTGAGTCTGGAGAGGACCGGCCTGAGTGCTGATGGAAGACTAAAGGCACAGAGAGACTTCCTTTGCGTTTCGGGGGTTGAGGGACCCATGGAGAGCCATGGAGAACAAACTGAAATTCACAGCTTCCTTAATTATGAGATTAAGGAAATTGCACATCGCAAATAACTATCAAAAATACACTTACCATATCGGCTGCGATGAGACAGAAAAGGGAAGGAATCTTTCATTATCCAGGTCAGATTCCATGCAAAAGAATCAGGAACAGGAGAAGGCAGGTTTGTCGGTGACTCTAAGGAGCTGTGACCTGGACATAAAAACAGAGAGAATAATAACCCATCTGTTTGGGATGTGTCTTTCAGCTGTCACTCATACCACTTTTTAAAAGAAAGTTTATAAGAGGCTTTCATGACATCTATTGGAAAATAAGGAAAGACCAAGCCACTAGAACATTGAATTGACCTGAGGATCTCAACGCACACTTGCTACCAAAGGCAGCCAAACCTAAGAAGTCTGAATCTTGTGACCAAGGCCTGCCAAAGACTTCTGGGACATGAACTAGAAGCCAGGCCACTTAATGGCTTGGTCTAATAGCTCTACCCCAGGAACTAGTGCAACTTTATAGAGAACTTCGATTCATATCATCCAAATAATGCTTCTACTATACTTTTGTTCAGACTTGTAACTTCATTAAATATTGCTTATTTGGGTTATCGCCTTATCAATGAGAAATCTGAAATTGCACTCAAGTTATGAGTTTTTGACAATTACATTACAAAAACAAACAAACAAACAAACAAAAAACTAGGTCATGGGTTTTTCCCAGAGCCAAGAGTCCAGAAAGCCACAAAGGATTAATGTTGCTCATTTGTATGTGAGAAAAAAGGATTGAGAGAAAAAGAGCAAAAGCAATATTATTCTTTTGTGTAACAGTACATCAAGTGGATTTTGTGTGGTGAAAAGTAATCTCATCTGAGGCCATATACGTCTACTTGGGGACAGGTTTAAGTTTCTTAGACTTTTAAAAAATTAAATTCATTTACAAATCAAATAAACAGGCATTACATGCTCTAATGCAGTTCTTCCCTGAAATCCCCAACTCAGTCACCATTTGCTAATGTTTTATGACAGGCAAGGCTTTTTCTGTTAAAGAAGGGGTTTGAGAATAAGTTCTGTTTAGTAAATAAATGTGTTGCCCAGATACATCTTTCTGGTATCATTTCTATAAAATGGGCCAGAGGAAATGCACTGAAGGGGGTCGGGTCTATAGAGAGGGGCAACGGGGCTGAGAGAGGGGAGGCCCAAGTCCAGATAGGTCTACGTGGGGGTGGGTTTGACTTTATTAGACTTTCATTAATAATATAATGAATTAATAATATGAATTAAGCACATATGGACCAGTGCTTTAAATGTCTGATTACATGAACTTTTTACAACCTTGTGGTTAGGTACGATCGTTGCTCCTCATTTTGCAGCCAGGGAAATTGAGGTAGAGAGAAGTTTAATATTCTGACAGTGGCCACCCAGTGAGTAGGCAAGAGACCAGAGTCAACAGACCAGGTTGGTCTGATGCTATCACACACAGTATTTCCACCCCCCTTCATGGACCCCCACATACTGTGCAAGGTGTTTTACAGCTCCCCAAAGGGCAATGGCTAAGGTCAGAGATCACCACTGAGCATGCTCCAGAATAAGACAACAGTGTGAGGGTTTTGAGAAGATTCTGGCAACTAACCCCTACAATGATCTTCATGTGAATAAAAATTAGCACTTCTGTGTCTGAGTCATCAGTGTAGCTCAAATTTTAAGTAATTTTGAAGCAACAGGAAGATCAAACCTAGCTATATTTCCTGGTTTCCAAGTAAGGTCATTTTTCTTAAACATATAGTTTGGGAATGGTATTAACTTCTTCCTGGATGTGAAGCACCAAGCAGATGGGGCTAGACTTCAGGAAGCACTTATGAATCTGTGAGTGGGCACAGAATGACAGATGACTTTTAATATGGACAAGGGCCAGGTTATATATTCACGGATTAAAAAAAAAAATCTAAAATCATTCAAAAGGAAGGGCTCTGAGGACTGAATCATGGCCCAGCAAGAGCCATGGGCGTCACTGTGGGTCATCCTTAAAGATAAACTTGAAGCATTTTGTATAAAAAAATTCCAATAAATTATTGGGCATCTTCAAAGTTGAATACTGGAGAGAAAGCAGAAATTTTTATCTCGCCCTTACAGGAAACTTTAGAATTTCTGCCAGCAGGCTGAGCTCACATGATCTTCAGAGGTAGGTGGGTAGTGATTTACTGCATGAGGCTGGGGGTACAAATAGAGAGATCAACCAAAAGGTTGGGCCTCCTCACCTGAGAAGGAAAAGACTAAGAAAACACAGCCAGTACGGATGAAGTTATTTGCCAATTTTGAAAGCACTAAGGCATACGTGAATTCTAGTCAAAGTTCATGGAATATTTATAAATTTAGAACATCAAGAAGGAAGCACTTCTGTGTTTAACAAGCACAGGGAAGAGGCTCCTGTTTCTTTCACATTGCCTCCCCTCCCCACCCTCACCCCAGCAGAGAAAAGCGATGCCAAGAGAAGCAACCCATTTAAGCAAGAGAAAGGCTTGTTTGTTTTTTGTTGTTAGTGGTGGGTTTTTGTTGTTGTTGTTTTGTGTGTTTTTTGGGC